TGCGGTCGTTGAAGTAGAGGGTTGGTGTCCTGGCGTGTACACGCCGTGGATGTTGAAGTGCTCTTCCGCCCTGGATTCCCTCTCTTCTGCCTTTGCCAAGCTTTCCTTAGCTTTGTCTACGAAAGATTGCGTGTGGGCCTCGATCGCGGATTTAAGCTCCGTTGCGGCCTTGTCTTGTATGTTGATCATTGTTGCCAGAAGGATGTCGTCATCAGGGCATCCCCTGAAGTCTACACGGCATCTGACATGGTGGGCGTTGTTGCCGAGTTGTTTGAGCATGTGGTCTGCCCAGTCAGAGCAGCCTTTCAGGTAAGCTTTTGCTCTGACGACTTCGTCGTGGTAGGGGTTGCCGTTGACTCCTGGGGGGCCGGCTGTAATTGGCGCCGTAATTTGTCAAGTCATGGCCATTTGTGGGATTCGTGGTCTGTGTGAAATAGGGGCATAAAAAAGCCATCTCTAGACTCTGATACATTTAGACATTACAGACCTGTGTTTTACCTCTCGTTTCTATCAAAAACCGTTGAAAGGGTCATTGCTGCAAGATTACTATCACATTTAGGCCAGACACAGTACTGAATCACCACTGCTAAGAATAAAAAAGTGATCTCCCGTGTGGAGTCAATGAACACTCAATGATTCTTTTAGTCTTATTTGTCCTATCTGCAGCTTTTGATACAATCGATCATTAAATATAAGATTATGTTGATATCAGGGACTCTGCACTTAGTCTTTTACGCTCTTATCATACAGGTCGCTCACAACAGGTTTTAATTAATGGAATATTGTCAAATGTGTCAGAGTTAGCTTTTGGTGCATCTCAAGGTAATGTTCTTGGACCTCTAGCTTTCTATACATGACCCACTGGGGCCATATTGAGACATCACAGTTTTTGGCTATAACATCTATGCTGATGATACGCAAATTTTAACATGCTGTAATGTAAAAAATCCTAATGAATCAATGGAAAAGCTGTCTAAGTGTATTGATGATCTACGAGGGTGGTTGATAGAACGCTTTCTATGAATAATCAAATTGCTAGCATATGCAAGTGAGCAGTATTTAATATTAGGAACATATGCACAATTCGTAATCACCTCTCTGACTCTGCTGCAGCTACATGTACAGTTACAAATTGTTTAGTAACGTCTAGATTGGGTTTCTGTAATTCTATTTTATATGGGTGTCAAAAAAACATTAAAATACTGCAGCGTATTCAGAACATCTCAGCTAAATTATCAACCCGTACATCCATGAGTAACCATATCACCCCAGTTTTAGCAGAGTTACATTGGCTACCTGACTGCAAGCCAGGATTGTTTTAAATTTCTAGTCTTGTTCATGACGCTTTTTACAAAGTCGCACCGATCTACCTAAGTGAATTAGTCACTCACTATGTTCCAGCAAGAAACGTGCGGTCTGTAGACAAATTGTTACTTATATAAGCTGGTAAAAATGCGCCTAAAAACTTATGGTGACATTTCTTTTAAATCAGCAGGTCCAAAGGAATGGAATTTATAACCACTGAAAATCCGATCAATTGAATCTACCAAGTATTTTAAAAAAGAATTAACGACATACCTATTCAGGAATTTTTTTTGACTAATCAACTTTTAAATTGTTTTTACAAATGTTATAGTAATTGCATTTTTCCACTGTAAGAAATAAGGCTTATACTTATAATTTTTCTATATGTAAATAAGGCTTTTTTTTACCTAGAATTGATTATTTCTTCTTCACAAACATATTTTAGCTATGTACTGTAAGTACTTTTATGTGAACACTCTTAATTTTTTGTCGTTAAACTCTGTAATTTATTTATTTATCTATTCCTAATAAATGATTATTTAGTAATTGTTTATGTATATGTAAAGTCTTCTGAACATGTAATAATGGAGTTTAGACTCAAAATAAATTTATTATAATTAGTAGTAGTAGTAGTAGTAGTAGTAGTTGTAGTATAATTATTATTATTATTATGGGTGTGACAGATTTAGCTGTGGCCATAGTAATACAGGGGTTTTGAATTATAATTTCTGAGACCTTTAAATTGTCATGTATTTCAAATATATGAACGCGGGTACCTGTATTGTAATCTTATAAAATAAGACTTGGGCCTCAGCAATTAATGAAATTATTTGAAAAAATATCATAGTTAAATTGCCAAAATGGCAGCCAATCCAAGTGTTAGTGCACCAAATCACATGACCTTGCCCGCACGAAAATGCAGTAGTATCGAAGTAGCAAAGAAGCATTTTAAACGCAGTAGAGGTGTGGAGCATATTTGCAGTAGAAATGCAGTATAGCCTACTGCAATTCTACTTCAAAAATTACATAGGCTTGTACAGAGGAGGAGCATTAATGCAGTAGATTAGCAGCATGATAGAAGCATGTTTCAAATATGCTAATTAGCTCCCACATCGAAGCAGATTTGAAGCATGTTTGCAGTATGATTGCAGTAGTCTACTGCGCTGGAGTATCTACTTCGTTTTTGTGCGGGTGTGGTCACTCTTAGTTATGCGAACAGTAATCAGTCACGTGATTTTGGGTGTGTGTGGTATAGAAATATATAGAGAATTCAGAAGACAAGTAGCAAGCATACCGGTCGGTCACCTGTGTTTGGAACCGTAGATAGCATATAATGTGAGTAATTGTAAAATGTTTTTTATTTTTACTTTAACGTATATACCGTAGTTTGTTTATATTAGTTTCTATGAGTTTATTGTTTGTCGCATACTTATGTCATTTTTCATTTTTTTTTAGATTTGTACAAAAGCTCAACGTACACAAAGAACAAACGTGCCACGGTGTCCATTTTGATAACGAAACTGTAACAAATTGTGCTATCTAAAAGACAATAAATGATTCAGTCATTTTATGCGTAACGTCGTCTACAATATTAGTACAAATATTTTGTTCCGAACACTGGCATCATGAACGGTGAAACAAACGCAGATGTACCACAGTCAGACACAACTACCATTAAAACTTTAAAGGACAGAAAAAGTGCAGCGCTACGCTCAGTTACAGTATGCTGTAACAAAATAGTGAATGCTATGACTGACTTTAATAACCTTCATATCGTGAAAACAAATTTGGAACAGTACGATGAATTATTTGAAAAGTACCAATCTGCATATAATAAATACTGTGAAAAACTTTCTGAGGATGAAATGACGAAGGAACTCAAGGTGGCCATCACAAAACACGGTGTATACATATTGCTGTGCTAACTGAATAAATGTTACTTTTTTCTTTCAAAATGTATCTTACACTTTCTGTTGAACATAATTAACCTATAATCTAAATATAAATTATTTTTATTTGGCCATATTATATTTGCTTGGTTGTTCCAAAATTCAACATGGCCACAATTGACAGTGCGGGTATGAATTTTAATGCAAGAAACGTATAATTCTAAAAGTTGTGCAGTCAATTGCAATCTTATATGACCTTTCTACACTGCTTTCATGGAAATACTTGTCCATATTTAATTGCATATTCAGGATTAAGGCTTTATGGTAACAGGTGAAATGTCTTGGCTGTAGTTCATTGGAAAGCCAATCAAGATTTGCTGTTACCTAGTCTTCGGTTATTGTTGACCATTTCATCTTTCTTTTTTAATCATTTTACATGGACACACATCTAGTAGTGATGAGCAGTATTATGAAAATAAGTTCTCATCCAAATTTAAGATGAAATGAGGAATATAGCTCTCATTTTAGAATGATTTTAGAATGACTCTAGAATGATTTTAAATGTCATTTAGTCAATGCATTTGAAATATTTAAGATTTTGTTGGCCTCAGAACTGTCATTTTTTAACCCGTGTGTTACCAAGACACACCAACAACCACTTTACTGGCAAACACGCAAAAAAATAAAAACTAAGGGCCTATTAGAAAAACATAGTGAACAAAAATCACTAAGGGGGTGGGGGTCGGTATTTGGCCCATGGACTATAAGGTCCTTATTCAAGCAATCATAAGTTTGAATTATTTACGAGGAATTCAATTGGAGATGATTCCGTTAAATAATTATAAAATATAAAAACGGTCTGATACATTTATTATTAAAAACTTATCTACGCTTTGTTTGTTGAGCATTTTGAAGAGAGTAATAAACGTGAAAAACACTGTCCATGAACAGAACTTTAAATAATAACAAATTTGTTCCAAAGAAAAGGGGCAAGCAAAATAAATAGATATATAAATAAATAAATAATATGCAAAAAATAGGATTCAGGGTAACAAACGGAGAGACGTGATACAAAAAAAAGTCAAGCACGTGTCTGTGGTCCTGAGTCTTTCTACTTTTATTACAAATATGTGGATTAACAGGTCTAGTGTGGTTTACAAGTACTGTCAAAAATCGAAATGTGTGAAACCAAGGAGTCCCAACAACTACCTCCTTGGTGAAACTAACTGTGGGCGCAGCAAACGTGAAAGATGTCCTCCATGCTGAACAACTGTCCATTAAGAAAAGAATCAGAACCTTTTTTATCATTTTGCTCATTTTTTTGGTTCCTCCACCAAAATAAGAGATTATCAGAGTAAGAAATAAAAATAAGTTAATATGACTACAAGTTGAGGTAGTGAGGTATAGAATAGAATATAATATAAGGTAGTGATCGTACACTACGAAGGCAATTGAAGTGAGAAACGTGTATCATAAACTATATTTCTGGGTTTAAAAGTGATTTCATTATGGTGATACTGTTTATAATGAATTGAATTCAAATACCATATTTTAGAATGTGTAATTCTCAGCGACAGCAACCTTAATGATCCACTGTTTATTACAAAAACCCCAACCAGAAAAAAACGCCTTTGTGTGTTCGCTAAATACCTCTATAGGTATGTCATCAGAAAAATCTGAATATTAAATAGACAGAATAGTGGGGGAAAAGAGACAAAAACCCAATCCATGATATTTAGCATAGCAGAGAAAGAAGAAATAAAGATATTGTAAATTAATAAGATTGACAGGTAATTGGACCAATTTCTACTTTGTGTTTCTGGGGATATTGGTTGGTTTCACGTCAGAACGGGTTTCTTGCATAATCATGGGTTTGAACACATATTTATCATTAAACTGCTCAAATACATACTGCCACTGCCACAGACATATGGTGCCAGCTACAGTGACAGTGACTGTTCTGGTTATTTCCCGTTCCTGCGTCCATTGCGATTCGTAGGAGGTTGAGTAAGAACCACTATAGGTGACGCTGGCTGTAATGACTTTTTTGGCCACTTCGATGGTCATTTCCCATGAATTTGTTAACGTCGAGGACTCGGTTTTAGAGTAGCCAGCTTTAAATGTATACGACAAAGACCCAGGGCCAACATGGCCCCAACAGCTGATTTTAACCCAGTCTCCGGCAACTGATGGGTTTGGAATAACCTGAACTTTCTGGAGGTTGCGGTTAAGAAAGTCAAACTGCATATTTGAGAAAGTTCCTCCGTGTATCATCGTATCGGAATGCCAGCTTGGCATTTCACCGTTATATGGGTACGGGTGAACATATTTGCCCCCAGAATGTTTGATGAAGCCCTTCTCTTGGTTGATTGCAAACAATGCAGAATTGTAGCAATTTGGATGTGGGAAAATTGCTGTATTGTCTCCTGGATGAGCCCAGCCGCCGAAGGGGTTCAAACAATGTCCGGCAGTGCCTACGACCTTCAGATAGCCCCAGTGTCCTTCCTTCTGATGCCATTCTAGTTCAGCCGCATTGGGGCAATTGTCTGCACGGAATTTTTCATAATGATGGCCCCAGGACCACCAGTCAGCATAGGCGTAACAACGGCCGCTAGACCTGTGCCTAACAATGAACCTAGGGCTGACGTATCCTCCTGCAAACCAAAGTAACCGTCTGTCATTTACTAATTGGACGACCAACTATCATACAAACCAGTCATTCGACATATTGGTTAATTAACCACTCAATCGAGCTGTTTCACAATCAAATCATCCATCAACTGCAAATTCAATCATTTAATTACATTGTCAACCATACAACAAATGAAACGATTGAATAAATCATCGATCAATCGCGAAAAAACATAAGCTGAAAAACTAATTAATAAACCAAGAGATCACAAAAACGACCCTTCAGCTTGGTTACCAAACTAACATGTATCAACCTAAAATCGATTAATCAATCGATGAAACGACGTTAAGAAGGAAAGTCGTCATCGATTTATATAAGTTGAAGCAGTTCGCTGAGTACAATCCCCCCTTTATGCAAAGAAAATAAAGGGTGTGTTTTCCCAACCCCTTGTAACCTTATTTCAGTGGCAAGAAAAAAATATAACATTAGCTTTTAACTTGACTGTGTTTTGCTATAGTGGGTCTCAAGAACAATACCTAAATATTATCATTGACCTATTCAACTAGGCATGCGACAGATTGGAGAACACATTTCTTGCACTTTCTGACCTCCTTTGAATTTAAACCATCACAATTTCCATTAGATTACAATATGTGATAATGAACATCAAATTCATGAGTGTGAACTTTGAATTTTATTTCTTTTTCTTTTGTTTCATATTTGTCAATGAGCTTTCCTAGTCGTGCAATCCATCTGCAAAATTTTTCAGTTCAAGACTCAGACATTGCAGATGTACATGTTCTTGAACATACAGGGGTATCATTTTACGTTGAATGGTTATTCATATACATACCAGAATGTGATCGGCAGGTTATCGGGTTTGTTGGTTAAATATACATAATCTGAGAAGTTGATTTTCTTGCAGTTAGTCAAAGGAAAATATTTTGCTCGTTATAAACTTGTGTGCTAGACTGTAGCTGTACGGTTACTTGACAATTAATGTTCTCGGACCCTCTCTTAAGACTGAATTCTTTGTTTTGATATTGATGAACTAAAAATCTCTGAAGCACCGACGCTCAGCGATTGGAAGGGGCGCCTCTGTCAGGTATGTTATCAGTAAAGTGGCATATCCTTGTTATATTTGCTATATATCCAGCTATATTTTGGACAACAGATTAGGCAGTGGTTCCTCACTAAACAATACCTCTGTAATGTTAGAAATACCCCCTTTACACTGGACGGCGTTCTTTCTGCGTTCTTTCTGCGACCATGAAATTTGGCATCGCTGTGGTCTTAATAAGGAGGCATGAGCATTAATTTTGTATCAGAATGAATGCTCAATGATCGGCCAGTTGTCGGCACGTAAAATATTATAATTTTTTAACTCTCAAATGGGGCCGGACTGCTGGACGCAGAAAGGACGCCGCCCAGTGTAAAGGGGGCTTTAGTGACAGCATGCAGTGACTAAGATCGGGGAGTGTTTTGTACAGTAACTTTAGTTGAATGACATGCTCTCATGATATTTATACAACCACGCATAATGTAAACAGGAGAAGAAGGCCCCTAGAGACTGCATGAGGTAGAAGTAGGGGTAAAGGAAGCGGCACATGTAACAACTGGAAAGTAGTTCAATAAATAATAAGAAAGTCCATAACTGAGTTGTATTTGGTACCTCGCGTAACATGAAGCCAATAACGTCGTCACACCTCGTACATGTACCAAACATTTATTTTAATAGACCGGTATGTTTTTATCCTGAACTGGAGTGCACTAAATATTTTGTCTTAGGATCAACTTTTAGGCTTTTTATGGGTGGGTGGGTGGGTGGGGGCAGCTTCACCAAAAACTTTAATTGAAGATGCTAAAAGCAAGGGCATTACACACTTTGGGGTGGAGCGCGTTTCCCGGATGAAATGAATAAAGCCCAGAGAACAATGGGTGACTATCTGATTCTCTGTCACGGTCTCTGTTTAAATCTCGGTTTCCGGGAAACGTTCCTACACTAGGTTCGGTCTAGCGTTCTAAGAGGTTGAAATGCAGTCAAGAGTTCGTGAAAGCCCTTGGTAAGAGCAAGATCGACCTTCGAATCATGTTGGAACTTACCTTCGGCAACCGCCAGGCTGGCAGACAGCACTATAGCCAGGAACAAATGCATGGTATCGTTCAGAAGTACGGGGCTTCTTGCTGCAACTGTCGCGTCCTTGATGGGTTCTCTTCTGTCCCTGCGTCTCCAGTGGATGAGGAAGGGTGAGAAGTTGTGTTTCGAGGGTTCGTATTTATACATATCAACGTAGCACCCCAGCCTCGCCGTGACTGTCAGCCCGCACAATCTTTACCATATAAGGTAAATAATTGGTGGCACTATCATAACGTATACCACGCGACGGGTTCATATTGGACATTTTATCAACTTAAAACTGACATACGTTTCACTGGCGTAACTTCAGACTCCAGAAAGTGATGAAACATTAAATAATAGATAGTTGGCACTTTCATGAGAACAAGCATCGCTGGCGAATCAATCAGTAGCGCAAGAAAAGTTGCCGAAAGAGAGAGAGATGGAGATTAAAAAGGCGCCCTCGAAACTGCACAAACTGTAGGTAGATGACATGTAATAGGTCAGAAACGCCCATTTTGTAGACTCATAAATCAATGAGCACCTGTTGGAAGGTTTGTTTAATAAAGTTTATTTCAGTTGGGTCAAAAGCATTTATTTTGACAGTCGAACACATCAACTGCCTCTGCTCTACCAGTTTACCGATACCAATTGCTACTGGCCGCCAACTTATTGTCTTATCGAACAAGAAGGGGCATCAGTGCATTCTGAAAAAGTTAGATTTTAAAACAAAGGTTTCACGTATGACCAGCGTGTTGAAGTAGTAGGAGTTTTTTCTCAGTTTTATTCCCTTGCGCTTTCATTGCCGGCAAACACTGTATCTCCAAGTAAATAAATGTAGAAAAATGCAGCTCGTATTGCACTGGTTCCCACCCGCTGTCATAAACAGCGTGCGTGCGTCAACATTGGTTGTGCTTTCTTTTTGTTCTTAAATAAGGCTTTGAAATCTTTCTGGCGTAAATTTTACTTCGTGCCCCCCCCCCCCCC